GTTTCTACGCTGGTTCCTGATGTAAATTGACCAGTCACACAATCGGTGTTCCTGTTTTCTCAACGTGCGCTACACAATGCACACAATGCGCACGATGCACAAAGTCGTTGGATGCCTTGCCATCGCAGGAGTTGCCTTTGCATTCCACAGTTGCACTCCGGCCAAAGTTCAGAACTGTTCGATTCATTCCTTTGGCATTTCAGGCAGTCGCCTTTCTTTTGGCGTGCCGTTTGAAAAAAGCCACGAGAATCAGGCCATCCAGGCTCAACAATTATGAGGGCCTTCGCCCGAGGCGAGTGGCAACGCATCCTCCTGTTCAAGTTCTCGTCCCCGGACAGGGCGGATGAGGCTGGGCTAAGTCCACGCTCCGGAACCAGCCGTAGCCATGTAGAAAGCATTCTTGAGCGTAGGTAATTAGAAAGGGTTGGTATGCCGACTGAGCTTGGGGCTTCTCGGCATGTTCCTTGATGTTCCTTGGAGGATCTGTGAATCAAGCAGGCAGTATGATTGCAGGTAGGACGTGCCAAAAAAACAACACGCTTCAATACATTCACGGGTCCTCAACCGGCTGCCAGCGTGGTAATTGCCCGGAAGCTTGGCTGCATTCCCCTGCTACCCCAAAAGTGGCAGGTAACTACCTGTCGCCATTGCCTAGCATAACCAGTTGGAGGCCAAATCAGGCCCCAGTTTCAGGCTTTACACTTATATTGTTGTTGAAGTACTGGCTTGAAACTTGGTAGGTAGGTTGTAGTGACATCATAAGAGGAGTTTGCGACGCAAAGTTACCCATGATTTTTGTGTTGATTGTTGCTGGTCCACGTCGGATGTTTGAGCTGGGCTCAAAATCAAGTCTTAGTCCCTATGCCAGAGATTACCGGGTTTTCCATAGTGGCGTCCCACTACAGGTTGGGGACGAGGAGAAGGGACCCCTATTTTGAAGAAACAACCCGGCCAATCCTTTGTTTGAACCAAGCCCGTTGGGTTTTTCAAGAACCCCCTCTTCTTCCAGTTGCTCAAGCATATGTTTGATATGTTTCACCTCTTGGTTTTAAAGAGAGTCTATCACTCCTGGGAAGATTCATATTTTCTCGAGGGGGCTTCAGCAAATGGAGGTCTTTTGCCCCCAAAGGCAAAAGGCAACCAGGAGCCGTTTGTAACGGATCTTGCCACAGATTTGGCGGTGGGTTGACCCATGGCCATTTCACACAGGTAGACCTGAAGCTCTTGGTACAAATCTGCGAGACTTGGCAGCAACTGCGCCCCTCGGCTGCAGGACGTTTGCGGTGAAAGCGGGGTGGGGTGGGGGGGTGGTCCAGATGGGGTTCCCCAGGAAACCATTTGGCCATGGGTCAGAAGCCCGCACCCTCAGTGAACATCCCAATCCCCACTAAGATAGACTAAAATGGGTGGTGCACCTACCCCAAAGTGGTACCATTGGTTTTGAGCCACAGCCATTTGGGCAAATTCTGATCATCTCACCTGTCAGAAAGGTCTCGTACTTGGGGGATTCTTCAGGGGCAAGTATGGTGCTTCGGCAGGTCACTCCGCATTTGTCGGCGCTTGCTTTTTGACGTTGCATTTTGCGTCCCAAAAGTTGCGAACTCATGTTCAGAAGATCCTAGCACCCCTCTTACTAAGGTCCCCTCCGCATGTGACGGAGAGTAACACCAGGAGAATCTTCCAGATCTGTTTGACAAGATGGGAACCCTGGTTTGTGCTGAGCCTGTGAGGTACTTACCCTAGGGCAATGCCCTCAACATTTTTGTCCTGCAAGAGTCAGGTCAATGCTGATACGCTGAGTCCCGCGCAAACCATGGTTGCTGTTGGAAACATTGTACAGTTTTGCTTATTGTGGTTTAGTGGTTGAAATCCCCACTTAACTGCTAAAAAATAGATTTGGGCTCCCCTCCCAACGTCAACCAAGAAACCCGGGTGGTTTGTCATTGCTTAGGACCCCAGCAAAGCGTCGTGACGGAGGGCGTCTCAGCCTCTCGCCTCTCGCCCTGGTGGCGGTCGATACTGCAGGCTGCTCTGACTGGTGTACCTCCTGGTCAGCTTGGTCCCCTGGCTGGACTAAGTCCCCCGGTAGCGCCCATTTACCGTTTCTTTTTTGTTTGGGAGGGTTCTACGAAAATAGGACCTAGTGGACATTCCGGAGGCGTATGGCTGTGGGTCAAAATTAATCCAGCAGGGGACCGCAAATTTTAGTCCATGGTTCCTTCTACCAGGGTTCCATTTTGGGTACCTATCTTTGACCCACAGTCATATGGGTATGTCTTGTCTTAGGGGGTGCCTTCAAAATTGACACTTTGCTGAAGAATACCTATTTTGAAAAAGAACACTCCCAGTGGTTTTAAAGGACATCTACCATAGGACCAGGGACCCCTCACATTGCTGGTTTCCCCTTGGCACCCCTTACTCAGAATACCAACCAAAAGGAAGTCCACCAGTTCGAAGCTTCTTTCCCAAGCCGTCCGTTTTGCCCTCTTGCCTTCTTGGCTTCCTTCCTTTCCTTGCCCTGGCCTTGGCCCGGCATGTTGCAGGGGTCCAGGCTCGTGCAAGTTTGGCCATTGGTTAGTTGGGGCAAGTGGGGGCCAAAAGAAACAGAGGCAGCCAATTCATGGTTGTTGTTCGGAAGCATTTGCAACATTTTTGCTTATCGTGGCTTGGTGGAAATCCAACCACTTAACTGCTAGTTTTTGTTGAGATGTTTGCTCCCCAAACCCAACGTCAAACAAGAATTGAAAGCTTCGGCCCTTGATTTCAGGCCATTTTCTCCCGGGGGTCTGGATCTGGATTTGAACCTCTTGTGAATCCAAACCCCCAGTGCCCTTTCGGGAAAACCTCCCTCACTAGAATCGACTGCAGGAAAAAGTTGGCGCCCTGATTCTAACCTCTTTACTGGAGGACCTAGTCCACATCCTGAGTTCTTGGACTTTATAGTTAGTCACGGCCCTTGCTTCAGGCCCGGAATGTAAACTTTGCAATGGTTAAAGCCAGGAATAGCCCTTGCTTCAGGCCCGCCCGGGGAGGGTAGCCGTGAAATGCTCCACCGCCAGCTGCTTCCAGTGCTGTAGAGATTCCTCCCCGTGTCCATGCCATCCAGCCTGTTGGAAGTTTTTCCATGCGCATTTTTCACAAAGCGCGCGAGACGCAGAGAAAGTCCGAGACATGGAGGCTGTGTTTACTTCGCTGAGAGCTGCGCAAGGTATGGGATTGATCTGATTGCATCCAGCTTACCAGGGGGTAAACGAGGTCACTCACCCATGATGCAGATCCTTTACTAGGGGTTGTCGCGTTTTCGGTGTGAAGGAACAACGGTATAGTTCGCTTTTGCCCCCCGGATGCCTCTTTGCTTCTGAACCAGGTGGCCGGCCATTTTGTCGTACTATGATTTCACCCCCCCCCCCCAACGGACACATTGCATTGGTTGATGATGGCATTTCTTGATCCGGAGTGGGTACACCAGGCTTGCCTGGGCGGTAAGCACATGGCTTGAACGGCCAGAAGGCGCAAATACTTGCAAGTGTGTTCAACTGCTCATGCGTTGCTTGTCTGGCATGCAAGCCGCAAACGGGTGAACTGCTTGGTGCTCTAAACTTGGCTGACGGATGTTTTTGGACAAAGAAAACCCCGGAGTCATCGGGCCGAAAGCCTTAGCCATTCATCTGCCCCACGGGCCACGGATTTCTGGCGCACGGCGGATCGACTGCATGCTGCACCTTGGGTCCGCCGAGGCTTCGCGCAGTTTGCAGCTGCAGTGGTGCAGCGCGTGATCTGCGACTGGTGGCACGCTCAGGGCCCAAAGCTGGTATTGGGATGGGGCCCCATGTGCGAGGAGCTTGGGGGCTTAGGGTCATGCGGTGGCAGTCTTTGTTAGGTTTCGGGGCTCGGGTTTCGCCGTGTGCCCTCCGATCATGAAAGCTGACAAGCTATAGATGATCAAGTTTGTTCGTGGTGGTGCCTGCCCTGTGCGCTTCCATGCTTTCTGAGCCGGAATTTCAGGATGTGCTTGGTAGCAGGTTATTTGTCGGTATGACTGGTGTGTTTTGGTGTACTTGGTGTTGCCAGGACGCCTCCAATGCGAATTTTGTTCCCAGCGTCGTGTCCTTGGAGGGCACGTGTGGGAGCATCACTCTCAATGGACAGCCAGTCAAGCACCCCTTCAATGCAAACAGGTCAGAGGAAAACATGAAGCTATGCAAACAAGGAGGCAACGCCTTTGTTAATCCTTTGTTTGTTTGGATGTTTCAGGGCTGGATGGAATATGTCAGAGGATGTCCTGAAATCCTGCTCTTTGGTGTGCTGGCTGTCCCTCAATTGAGGATTTCCTGAGTTCCTGCTCCCTTTGCCTAGCGCGAGGAGTCTGACTGGGAGTCTGAGTCTTGCGACTGCGCGGCATTGCAGCAAGAGCACTTGCTGCAAGTCTTCGGCAAGGCCTGAGATGCACACATGAAGGCTCTTCACAGGGAAGTAGGGAAGTTCACATATATTTCTCCAGTTCGGGATTTCTGGGCCATTTGTTTCCAACAATTCTTTCGCGTTCTTGGCTTTATGCTGCTTCCTTTTTCATTTTGGCCCCCTAACAACGGTCCCCAGTGTTGACACGTGGGCTCCTTGGCTTTCGAGTGACTAAGTGGCAGCGTTGGAGCCTCCGCTTGGCGCTTGGCCGCGGGGCCCCAAAGGAGCTCTGTGCCGGGCATGTGGTCCGGATTAAGAAACCCTGTGTATTCATATGGGAACGTTCTCCTCCAAAAGTGGTCTAAATCCCCACTACAGCCAGGGACACACCCATATATTAATAAACAGGGGCGTATTAATCCGGGGTCAACATCTAGTGGCTTCGGGAACCATGTCTTTAACAGGCTGTTTCATGATGCGGCACGCTCGCAACCAATTGACTTTGACCTGCTGCCCTCAACGATGGACGAGCCTGCTTTCGGATCAACATCCTAAGCCGGGCAAACGTCGCAACGGCCAGAAAAAGGGTTGTTTCAGCAATGGCAGCAAGTCCCCACCCCCTTAAATATGGAGTCGGGGGGGGGGGGGGAATTCAATGCCTGGAGATCTGCATAAATTGACAACCCATGTCCCTTTGGGCCCTTTGGGAAGAATGGACTTCTTCCATTTGCTTAAGACTACGTTTGTATTTTCCCCTGTTGGTTTTAAAGGGATTTTATTTTATTTTTTTCAGGGTTTCTCAACCAAATGGAAGACTTGGGTCCCGGAATTCTCCCCCCCACCCCCCTCCCCTTGTAGGGGGCATGGCACGCAGGCGGCTGACCGGGGGCTCCAAGTCCTTGCAGAGGGCGGCTTCTACCGCGATCCCAACCGCCACTCCGACCACTTGGCGCGCCTTTCCGAGCGTGGCCGCTCCGCGCCGCGCCTCGGAACGACCCGCGAATTTCGGGTGTGCGAAGGTCGGCTTGCCAGTCGCTTAAGCGTGGAAACCAAGGAAGACGAGAGATGTCCAGGAATGATATAATAGATCCCCTTTAAAACCAGCAAGGGAGAATCAGTTTGCCTAAATGATAAAAAAATGACAGTTGTTAACCCCCCCGCAACTCAAATGCCAAGCATCATCCTCAACGGAACTTCGAGGCAACCCCTGTCCCCCTGAGTTTGTGCAGCCAACGGGGATGTAGTTCCCCTGCATCTTCATGGGGGTAGCTTTGACGCAGTCATACCTGCCAGTCGAGAAGGTCGGAGGATAATTTTCAAGCAGGTAGGCCCTGTTCGAAGTTGGAAAGCGCACATCTGAGTTGCCCAAAATCGACCTTTTAACGTTTTGCTTTTCCAGTTGTGGTCCATGTTTAGTCATGGCCCCAAGAGGTTAACATTTTTTTCTGGTGCCTTTGGGCAAGTAAGGCATAGTTCAGGTTGGCCTTGCTGGTGGCGATGTTTGGCTTTTTTGCCTCATGCCTGAGAGGGGTCCAGCGAGGCATAGCTTCATATTTTCTTGTTCTAGCCAGGCAGCCTGCTTGTTCAGGGGACGCTGGCTTTTGGTGCTACGGCTGGCATTCCTGCCAAGAGTGAAGATTACCAGCATTTCGTGTCATGGTGGCCGAACTTCCCCGATCCATCCCTGTAAGGAAGCGATCGCCAACACACACGTTGGGGGGGGGGGGCATTTTTTTTGGTCGGAGCTGGACATTGGTCAAGCCACCAAGCAAGAGTCTTGGCGGGTGACGTGGCTTGGCTTCATTCACGGATTGGGGTGTAAGCTGCGGTCCCATGGTTTAAGGTGACCACGGGCCTGCTATCCCCTTTGGGTCCGGGCACTTCTTACACACCCAACCCTTTGTTGTGAAGACCGGGCTTCAAAATCTGGGCATCCTTTTGGCATAGCTGGGCCCAGCCGAAGCAGTTCCCAGACCTTGTTGCCTGGGCCTCTTCTCACACCTGAAGCATCCACTTCCGTCGGATGCGCTGAGGTGGGCCCGGTTCCTGATGCGCACCCCAACCATGCACAAGCGAGACGCGCAGGTGGCTGCCCAGGCGCGATCCCGCGAGGGATTTTGGGCATGCGTTTCTCTTCGCATGGGTGGTGTCAAAACATCCGTTTGCTTAAGAATATATGTTACTTTCCCCTGCTTTTTTTTTAAGGGAATGTATCACTACTGTTTTTGTTTGTTTAGGGGACTTACGCAAATGAAGGAACACATCACATGTTGTGCCATTTAAGGCAGGTTTTTATGCGAGGGGGGAGCCCTCGGCATGAGTGCCTTCTCAACTGACTGGGCTGTAAGGCATGTGTGAATCCACCGATTCAGATGTGAAACTGGACTTTATCACCTTCCCCTAAAATAGACTACGGAAAAAGGATACCCTTATTCTATCCGCTCCACTGGAGTACCTAGAATGCCTTCCTTCTAGCCTTCCCCTAAAATAGACTACGGAGAAAGGGTACCCTTATTCGAACCTCTCTACTGGAGGACAACTACCTTCGAGCCGCACGCGAGGTGAACTTTGGAAAGCGGATGCAGAGCGCAGCATTCGCTTTGGCCAAGACCGCCCTGGACACGCGCAGCATCGAGACCTTGCTGGACACGGCAGGCGACGTCAGGAGCCTTTTTTTTTTTGCGTCGTTCGAGGGTGAGGCAACGTCATATCTCTACCGCTATTGGGCTGGATCTTTAGACTTTAACTTTTTGGATTCCCTTCATATTTCTTTTTAACCATAAAACAACTTAAACTTTTCGCTGGCTTTGGTCAGGATTCCCTGAAAGGAAACTACAGGGATGGTTTGTGGGGTCATTTTCTCTTATCGGACCAGCAAGTTTGGTTCTGGCTCCCGTGGGCAGTGGTTCACAACTCACAGTCACAAAGCAATATTCTGGGATGCGGATCGTTCAGGGGCCCTTCCCCCCTCCCAGAAGAATTGTTTTCCCTGTTGGTGCCATATCATTTTCAGAAACCAATGCTCTGAGTGGTGGGTTTCAAGTGTGGATTTTTTCAAAAAGCACAGTCCTCGTGCTCACGTGTTTGAGCAATCTTGCAGGGCATCTCATTTGCAGAGCTGAGAAAAAAGCAATAGCAACCACCTCCCATTTGCAAGGCAGGCGGGTGTAGTGGCATAGGCGTCCTTTTTAGCTTAGTTTGCTTCAACATAGATGGGTTCCACTGCTTTGGATGGGTTTTGTGCCCCATGTACCAAGGAAGCCCATCGATTTTTCTCCCGAAAGGCAACACCTATGTGTCGTTGAAAAAGAGAGAGCTACACGAACATGGTTAGCACACGCATGCGCTTGAGGCGAAAGACAAGAAAGACACCCTGACACCAAGTGCCAAGTGCACCAGCCGCAAGAAATGTACCAAGGAAAACCCATGGATTTTTCTCCCGAAAGGCAACTCCTACGTGTCGTGGTTGAAAGAAAAAAAAAGCCAGCCGCAAGAAAAACAATGCTGAAGGAAGGTGCCAGTGCAGAGTCATTCGGAGGCCTTTTACAGGCTGAAGGATGGGGTGAAGCGCGCGATTGCGATTGGTTGAGCACGCGTGCCAGGAGTTGTGTGTGTGTTTGTGTGTGTGTTTTTTGTTCGGGTCCTCTAGCTCCTTTTTTTCCCGGGTCCTCTAGCTCAGTTGCTCGAAGCGAATCCAGGCTTTTGCCTTTTGGCTCTCCCTTTTTAGGGGGAGGGTTCCCCTACTAAAGTAGACTACAGAAAAAAGTTGATACCCTTGTTCGAACCTCTCTACTGGAGGACCTAGATGTTTAGTCCCAACAGGTAATCACCTGGAATTTTTCTGGGTCCCATTCTTCGGGGTGAGTCAATCCATGGCCTTTGGATCAAGATGTCGGCTGGGAACTACTTGCCCAGCCCCTCGCGGCCCCATGCCGCACTTGTCTGGCTTACGTGGATCTGAAAGCTCCAATGCCTCGTTGCCTGGCCGCAACGTTGCAAGCTCAGGTGGAAAACTGCTAGGTGTCTCCAGGTACAATCCATGGTTGTATAATCAATGATTGCGCAGGTAAGCCTTCATTGGCGGCTTGGATGGGTGATTGAGGATTTGACCCCCTGGGACCACTGGGACCTCGAGGGTAGAAGGCTAACGACCCCCGAACGTCCAATCTAAACCACCAATTGGAAGGAAGCTGAGTTGCCTGCACAAAGGTCCCCCAAGAACAAAACTCGTCTTCAGGATTCCAAAGTCGCCCATGCTGAGTTCAGAGGCCAAACCAAATCTAAGCCGATTTCTCAGCCCAAAATTGGGGCTTAGGGAGCTGACAGGAAAGGGGCGATCCTAAGCACCCCCCCTGCCCGTTATGGCACTGTGGACAAAAGCCACCTAAGAAGCCCTGGAATGATACGATTGCCCTGTTGCCAACCAACAAGGGTTTCCATGGTTTCAAAGCGTTTCCCGTGGTTTCAATCTGGTGCTGGATTTCGTCCATCCACAGTGCATGGTTGTTGTTGGGAAACATTTTGCATTTTTGCTTATTGTGGTTCAGAATTTCAACCACTTAACTGCTAAACTTTGAGAATTGTTGCTGCCCTTGCAACGTCGACCAAGTCAAAGTGGTGCGAAGCAAATTTCGTCCATCCACAGTAGGTGTCCTTTTTGACCCGTCCCACTATTAGGGGGGTGTTCCCGTTTGTTTGGGTCCCAAGGGAGAAAAGTTCCAAGGCTCAGCACCACCACCAGCTCCACCACCACGGCTTCGGAGGTGGTCTCCTTGAAGCGTCAGCAGGTGCGCCAGCGAAAGCAGCAGGAGCTGAGCGTTTTTTTGCGAGAACACCGGCCGGGGCCTTAAAACAAATGAATGAAGGAGGACAGTGGTTACAACAGGGCTCCACTTTTGTCATGGAGCTTTTTTCTGACCCTTAAAAAACATGGGGTCATTACTCAAAATACTGGATCAATGACCCATTTTGAGAGGACTCATTTCCTGCAAAAGGAGAACCCGCCCGGGTTTGAGTCTATCTCGGGGTAGTGGGTAGTATCCACTCACTTCCGAAGAGTTCCTGGGCTTGAAGCTTTTTCGGAGGCCATGGAGACAATTTCAGTGGAAAACAACAAGTTTGGTTATTTGTTTGGCCAATTACTGACTTGCCCAAAGCGAATCGATCACATTTGGGTCAAGGTTCCGAAATGTCCCTTTCAAATTTAAAAAGAGTGTTCGCGAAGTGGCGCCATGACGCGTCATGTGCTAGCCTGGACCTTGGACCCGCACGTGTGCCAGGGCGCCTACCAAAATGTCAGCGACCACTCACCAGAACCTCCCAATCATACTGTACGCCCGTTGCAATCACGATCAATGTTGCTTTCACAAACGCTGCCCACATGTTGACACAGTTGACTTGCTTTCCAATAAGGCATGGTGTGTCTCAGGTGCGAGCACGTGAATGAGCCGCAGAGCCTAAGGGGCTGCTTCGGCCTGCACCTGGGCTTCAAGGAAGTGGTTTACCCCATCCATTTGGCGGCCCGGCGCGGAGACGCTCGGATCACCCGCCTGCTGCTCGCAGAAGGAGCAGACCCATCGCAGAAAACCTCGAAAGGACGGACGGCGCTGGACATTGCCATCCGGCATGCCAACAAGAAAGTGCAGGAAGTCTTGGAAAATCCGGTGCAAGCAACATGGCCCACTTAGTTGGTTTTTGTGTTTGTGTTTTGCTGTTTATTGTCTTAACATATCCAGCGCCTGAATGACTGAACATGAAGGGGACGCCCAAACATGTAAGTTACACCATTTACATGTTTATATCAACTTACTTGTTGAACATGTAAACTGGTGGCTTTTATGTGCATTGCATCTTGCAAAACGATACCATGGGCTCAGAAATGATATGGGGGTCGACTTCTTTTTCTTTCTGGGGGGCCCAACATGGTTCCGGTCTGGTTCCAACTTGGACTTCGGCAGGGGGGTTGAAGGTTAGTCTTTGGTTTGGACTTGAACTTGAAGCCCTTCTTGGCGAGGAATTTCGACCCCTGGAGATCTCCAGTTGCGGTTCCATTTTCCCCTTATGGGAATAATAGAAAATGGAATTGGGGGACCCCCCCCACCCCTCATGGTAGGGGGATGATGAAAAAAACCAACCGGAACACCAGACCGGACTCCAAACCAATTAGAGGGATCCTGAGAGTGAAGGACAGGGAGTAAAGTTCACCTTTGAAATTGTATACACATGTAGACGCCTTTTAGGGTGGAGGGGGGGGGGATGGTTCAACTGGTCTGGTTCAACTGGTCGCTGTTCTTTCCGGGCATTGTTTTTGCACGCGAGGCAATACCTGTGCGAGATATCTGGCAGCTGGCGCCGAGTGAGCTGGACAAGCCTGTGTCACCTGTCCGTGTGCGACGGCCCAAGCCGATGTTGTACTTTGAGGGTTATTCCTTTAGCGTTTGAATTCCCGCGCGCCACTTCTAGGTCCCCCAGCTAGGTGCCCTTTTACCTTTCCTTTTTCTTTTTTGGGGGCAGGGTTCCCCTACTAAAATAGACTACAGGAAAAACAACAACAAAAAAAACGGGTACCAACTTATTCTATCCGCTCTACTGGTGGACCACTTGGTTGGAGCCGAGCCTCAGGCTGGCCCTGCCCCTGGCCGTTTCGAAGTTGTTGCTCGTAGCGCTCCTGAGGGCAGTCATTATTCATTCGCGGCACGCGCGAAGGACTTCGGCCCAAGAAACGCTTCTGCAGTTTTTTTTTCCAAAGCCGTTGCCCTCATGGGAGCTGTTTCGCTACATGCAATGTTGGCTTCCAACGTTGTGTTGGCAAGCTGGGTTGACTCCCGCTCGTTTCTGATCGCTTGTTGCGATTGCCGCTTGCTTGAGTCACTTCAAGGGCTGAACTTAGCAAGTGACAGTTACGGCCGAGGCCTTCAGTTTTAGCTCGCCTCTTGAGGCGAAGCCACTGGGTTTGCGAAGCTTAAAAACCCATTCGGGTTAAGGAATTCAATGGGATGAGGCGTCAACCAGAGAATCCAGCATGAAACATGTTCCAGCGAGAGAGGCGGCCTTCCCGTGAGTTGGCGTTTGACCACGTGCACATACGCGAGGCGTGAATGGTTTAGCTGAGAAATCAGCCACGCAAGTTAGCGCTCAGGGCGCAAAGCTCGCAGTTTTCTTGTCAAATAGAAATCCGGGGATGCATGAAACAATGTATTGCTTGGCCATGTCAGGCTGTACATCCTTCTCAATGTTGTTGTGATGAATGGCATTCTGTGATTTTCCATGCATCCTCGGGTAGCCGGGATTCAGCCTCGGAAGGTTAACAAACCTCCTGCTTCGGAGCAGGGATTGATTTCATTGCAGCTAATGGATGCTGAACCCGGATAAATTGGGCTGTCCTTTACTAATAGCTGTGTGTCACCCACAAAAGTGATGCACCCGCACTAAAAGAGGACCTCCCCCAATTGATCAACAAAGGTTTATTTATCCGGGGCTTCCAGTAGTGAACTTTGAGATTCTGGCGGCAGTGGAGACGACTCCGGGTAAAGCCTTCAGAGGAAAACGCCCGCCCGCAGGTTTTCGTAAAACCTGCGCCCCGACCGCAGGATCCCCCTCCCAGAACGCTCTTGGGGTTCGTGTAAATACGCACTCCCCGAATTCCTGGACTTTGGTCACTTTTTGGGCTGGGACCATTTTGGGGGCAGACTAAAAGTTGGGTTACACTTATTTTACCCAGTCCACTTGATCGGACGTGCGAATATTTCCTTGGCATATTTCAGCTTTCCACGACTCGGTTGTTCGCACCTTCTCCCCCGGAAGTGCGTGAGACCTCGCTCCCACAAGGTTCCCGGGCCACATTTTGCTCGGCGGTCCACGCTGCGTCTTCCCCCCTAACCAGGTAAAGGTTCTGTACCTGCCAACTCCCCCCAATACCTGTTTTTCCCGTACCAGTTTTTCCCGTGTCCAACAGCCCAAGTACTCTCCAAGGTCCGGTGTGTGTGTGTGTGTGTGTGCGTGCTGTTGGGGATCCCTTATTTCCACTTTTGACATTTCTAAAACATTTGCATGGAGTATTGTTGCAGCATGTTGGACTGCCTTGTCCACCTGTAATCTTCTGAGACATGGATTCACATATCCATCCACGTTGTTTGTTCGAATGCCGATTCAGGTGTAGTTTCTGAAATTCATACAGTGGTTGCTGGTTGGCGGTGTGAATTGCGCATGATTGTTGCCTTTGTTGAGCCCCTTGGTTTTGCTCTAGCCATGCAACTGTTGTCCATGATAGATGTCAAGAACCGCGGCACATCCACGCGCGTGTTCGTGCCTGTTGTGACTTCCTTCTTCACAGCGCTCATGAAAGGTTTTCCAATGACGTCAGCAGTTCTGCCAGCTTGCCTGACGCATGAAGCAACGCATGTTCGGAAGGAGCTGTGGTGGCTTGCATGTTTACCTCCCGAAGACGTTTACTGTCAAGTCGTTTTCCCATGAGTGGAGGTCAGCGCAGGTTTACTGCAGAGTCATGTTTTAAGGATCCGGTGCTCGGCAGAATTGACTCTATTGTGTGATTTGTTGATGAAGGCTTCCCTTATCAGGCTCACTTCGTCCGCAGGATTAGCTCCCCGGCTTGATGTTTTTGGGGCCCTTGTTTTCCACTACCCAGGCAAAAAATAAAGTTGTTTGCTGGGGTCCTACTTCCAGCCACAACTTGGTGCTGTCATCCTGTAACATGTTGCGTAGCTGCGTGCGAGCGCGCATCGTTCCAGAAGCGCGAGGGTCAATTGCCCAAGGTACGTTTAGGCCTTCTTTCCAACAGATTTCGGGCATTTCCGTCCCTCGGCAACGGGGAGGTATCCACCATGTTTGACCGCCTCTTGTTTTTTTCTTTTTGAAGTTGGTCAGAATGGACCAGCTGATTCAAGCAACTGCAAGATCCCTCTCCCCCCCCTCATGTTTCACGATATCGCTTTGATGCTGAGTTTGCGCCCTTTTGGGCGCAAGGTGCCAGGGAGTCATGATCTCGTTGCTGGTGGGAAAGGACGGCCAGGTTTGTTTTTTAATTCTAAGGTAGCGACGGCTTCCCCGCTCGCTTGGCTTTTGTGCATCCTTGTCCTCTAAAGCGCTATGAGCTCCGTTTCCAGCTTTGCCTTGGGCCCCCTTGCTTTCTTCAGAAAAGACCAGTGGTGACCTCAAAACTCGACAATGGGTGAAATACGGCAACAGGCCTGTACAGTGCTTCTGTTGATTGCATCCTTGTGGTTCTTCAAACCTTTGCAGCTTTCTTTGAGTCGGTATGAGGAGAAGTGCCTTCTGAGCCGGACCTATGGGCCCATGTTCTTTGGTGTCGTGTCGGGCTGATTGCCACGGTGATCGGGGTTTTGGGGGATTTGAAGCCCAGGCTTTTGTGGATGAATGGGAACCCCCTCCAATTCTCCACTTCAAACCACCGATTCGGCCCCAAAAAACAAAGCATCAATTCGACTTTTCCGACTTCCATGTTTATTCTATAAATACCGAGTTTGATTTTGCGTGTGTGTGTGTGTGTGCGTCTGTGTCTGTGTCTGTGTCGGTGTCGGTGTCTGTGTCTGTGTCTGTGTCTGTGCGTGTGCGTGTGCGTGTGCGTGTGCGTGCGTGCGTGTCTGTGTGTGTGTGTGTGTGTTTGTTCTGCCCGTCCGCAGCGGTGGGATCAAGTTCTTTTTAGGCGAGGGAATGCAGTGCAGCTCGGACTCGGACTCATGCTGCGAGGTGAAGCTCACCTCCAAGCGTCAGCGAGTGCGGCGCCGCCGGCAGCACTGATGTTAGGACTTCCTGGAGTCTCCATGACCCTTAAAAAATGGGGTCATTACCCAAAATAATGGTTGGTCAATGACCCATTGTTTAAGGGTCATGGAGACTCTAGGTTTAACTTTTTGCCCAACTAATGGGTTTTCCGTATTAAACCATTACACGTTCAAAAAACTTTTCGCAGGGGGAGCAGAAAGCAACCGAGGCGCCGCCAGCAGCAGTACTTGCAGGACTTCCTACGCCGACATCGGCGCCTCGGCCGTCGGAGGCCTATGCATCGATCCTGTTGTTTGGAGGTCTCAAAACTTGGCGGCACCCAGCCATCCGGTTCCTTAGCTTTTTAGATCCTTTTGGTGTTTAGTGGTAGGTTCCATATAACCCACTAAAAGTTATGCACTTTCAGCGGGGGATCTGAGGGAAGCCCGGAAAAATGGGGGTACCCTCCAAAATATACAGTGCCCCCTTCCCGAAGAAGCCCCAACCCCAAAAGTGGCGCCACTTTTTGTAAAGAACAAACCGAGTTTTGCGGACTCGGCGATTCCCAACCAGACCCTTAGACTTTCAGCAAGCGTCAACGACCCACAAAGCATATGAGCATAGGTTTTGATTGGTTAGGTTGCTTAGAAATAGACGGGTTCCACTGGTTCAGATGGGTTTTACGGCCCATGTCCCAGGGCCACTTTTGTTGTTGCTAAAAGATCACCCATGAGCATATGTCGATCTTACTCGCTTCACGCAGGGACAAAGGAAAAATGCCCATGCATGTCAAAGTCAATCGTCCCCGCGAGTTGAGGGCATTGGGATGCCACTCTGGCATGGCAGAGACCAGGCATCAAGTCACCTATGTCACCTTATACCAAGAGGATACTCCCCGATGAACTCATCGGGCCCCCCGATGGCTGTTTTCAAGGAAGCCCGTAGTTCCGGTTTGGTATTCAGGTTCTTTTTTATTTGCTTAAGAAATGAAGAATATTGTCCTTATTTAGCCCTGTTTGGTGTTCAGGGAATCCATCACCACTGTCGCGTTTTTCAGTGGACTTCAGCAAATGGAAGCATTGGTTAGGGCAAGCGCTCGGCCGAGGCTCCCGAAAATCCCAATGTGACCTAAACCTTCCCTATGTGCGAGACCATATGCATGCCGTGCCTAAACTCACCTCAAGTACGCTAAAGCCTGGACTCAGACTCAGGGGAGAATCTTTTTTCGACTTTCGCCTCGTTGGGTCTGAAACAAACTCCGTCTTGCAGCTGAGGTGTGAGCACGTGAGTGAACCGCAGCTGGCTTCGGGCTGCTTACGTGTCGCATTCAAGGAAGAGCTCTACCCGATCCACGTGGCCGCCCAGCTTGGCGACGCTAAGGCCATCCGCCTGCTGCTGGCAGAAGGGGCGGATCCCTTCCAACCCACGTCTCGCGGACGAACGGCCTTGGACATCGCCAGGCAGCACGCTCATCCTGAAGTTCAGGAGCTCCTAGAGCATCCCGTGCAGGCATGGCCCAACTTGAGCTGGGCATGTTTTTGTTGCTTTCAGCTTCTCCCAGGCAGCAGGGGATCTGTGATTTGCGCTGACCCGAGTTTTGTTGGAGAAAAAAAACAGGCTCCGGTCCAAACAAAGGCTTGCCCCAGGCAGCAAGCGTGAGTCCAAGCTGAGGCGGTCTGCTTGCGAGATGCTTTGACCTC